GGGGGGGAGGAGGCGGGATGAGGATGGTTGGCGGGGGCCCACGTGGTGCTTGTTGCCATCATTCCTCCCGAGGGAGACGGCAAGGGAACTGCGTCTAATTCATCCCAGCTCTGCCACTGGGTGACCCACGAGGGGACCTCAGTCCTCTCCCGCCTCTCCTTGGGTTGATGCAACGCTGTATTGGTGTAGGAAGAATCTAGCGTGGTTTCTGACACAAAGGAGCTTCTCTGAAGACCAGTTGTTTAAGGCCTTCTGTAGCCACCCTGGGCCTAAAAAGTGAAAATTCATTTGCCTTCAACAAATACACTCCAGTCTCAACTTTGTACAAGAAGCCAGCCTCTGAAGATGCCTCACTGGAACTTTGGCGGGCTTTATCTACACATCACTCGTTCTCGGGGACAGAAATGTCAGCAGAGTCACAGCCCCAAAGTTCCTTCCCCAGGAAGCTGGCCAGGGACAGGTGGGGGGTGGGGGGGGTGTGCGCGAGGCCCTGGCTGCTGGGCCGGGGGAGCAGCGTCCCGGGTCCCGGGCTCCCACAGGGGGCCCAGGCAGGGCTTACCAGAAGGTTTCGTTGTCCAAGCCCTCGTCAGTCAGGTAGTTGTTCTGCAGGTACAGCTCACGCAGGTTGCTCAGCTCACTGAAGGCACCTGGTGGGATCTTCTCCAGCTTGTTGTTCTAAGGGGTGGGATGGTCGGGAGGGGAGCATGAGGGACAGCCAAAGGGTGAGGGCAGGGCCTTGGAGTGAGATGTGGAGAGGGGCCTGGGGAGCCGTGGGAGGAGGGCCAGGCCTGGAGCATTCTGCATGTGATATCGACAGCCCGGTACCTGGGCTTCTGCCTCGTTCCCTACAGTGGACACTGTGCCCTCTGGCCTGTGCCCAGGGCCCCACAGCCTCACCACTGGGCCTAAGTGGACCGGGGCTCTTCCCCCACTGCAGGTCCCTACTCTTTTGCTGCCCCTCCCCACGCTCTCCCTCCCACCTTGAGATGCAGCTTATAGAGGGCAGGCGGCAGGTGCTTGGGCACATGGCGCAGGAAGTTGCTGGACAGAATGAGGATCTCGACGTTGCTAGAGCCGTTGAACATGTTGTCGGGCAGCCCGGCATCCGCAAGCTTGTTGTTGTGCAGGTACACGGACCTGGGGAATGAGGCGCAGGTCCTCACCCACCCGGGCCCCCTCCACCAGCTCGCCTGATGAGCCTTCAGACCCTGCCCGGTTGGGCCTGGGCCCAGGGTACCCTCCTCCCATTTGAAGAACCTCAGACCCCTCCCAATCCAGGCCCCCCTACACAGCCAAGGAGACCAAGGACCCACCTGAGGCTGCCGCACACCTCAGTGGCAGAAACAGGATTCTGGATCCCTGCCTGGCAACTCCACGCAGCTGGCTCTGAGTTCTGTGGGACTTCCCGCAGATGGGGACTGTCCCTGCCACCCCTTTGTCTCAAGTGTCCAGTACAGGGCCCAGCTCAGACGAGGTGACCTCTCATTCATTCAGCAAATATATAGTGAGTGTCCCTATGTGCCAGGACTATTCTAGACTCTGAAGAGATAAGCCGTGGACACAACCAACAAGACCCTGCCATCATGCCGCTAACATACTAGAGGGAGCAAAGACCAGAAATAAGAGAAACAGAAGATATTTAAACATGGAAGATATAACTCATTCTTGCTGTGTGACCTCTCTTGGGCCTCAGCCTTCTCATCGGTGGGATGGGACCACACAGTGACCCTGGCTCCTTCGGGGGATGGAGCCAATCAAGTGAGGTGACAGATTACGGGACAGAAGCAGCACCGGGGGTTGTCAGTACCCCCTAGCACCACCCTGCCCTGTTCACACCCCTCTGCTAGGAGGCCTCACTCCTTCCAAAGCAGCTCTCAGTGAGAGCCAGCTCTACCTGTTGGAAGATGCTTCCTTCCCCCACGGGCTGCGGAAGGAGGGAAAAACCCTCACCCAGCTCCCCACAATTCCGCAGACATCACTCTCTGATCTCGTCTCCTGGGCAGATTCCTCTCAGCCTTCAGATCCTGCAGCCCAGGCATCCCCACCACAGCGCTGAGCCAGGGGCATCCTGCCAGCTGCCCAGCATGCCCCTCCTCCAGGGCCTGTCTGGGCTTTCTCCGCCTTGCTCAGGGCTGGGAGTGTCTGTCTCAGCTCCTCCCTCTTCCCCAGCCCGAGCCCAGGGCCCCATCCGACTTCTCACCTCAGGTTTGGCTTCTGGCCGAAAGTGAGCCCGTAGATCTTGGTGAGATAGTTGGCAGCGAAGTCCACACTGATCAGGGTATTTGGCAGGAACCGGGGTGCCAAGGTCAGCTAGAAAGGGAAGAGTTGGGGCAGAAAGACCAATGGAGGGCAGAGGCGGACTCTGGGTCCCCTCCAATTTGTCACCTGCTTGCAACCAGAGCCATCTTTCTCAACTGGAAACCCATCCCACTCCCCTGATAACACAAAAACAGAACCTCCATGGCTCCCTCCAGCCCTGAACATGGAAAGCCCTCTAGGCCTGGAGAGTCCTCCTGGTCTCTCCCCTCATTGCTCCCCAGCACAGACTCTCTGTACAGCCACCATGAGGACCCACACTCCTCCAGACAACCCCCCCCCTCCCCGCCCCAGTATCTAGCCTTCATTCATTCAACAGTAGGCCCTGAGTCTGCAACATTGCAGGCCTGGTTCCAGGTGCTGGACATGCCCTGGGGAACAAAACAGAGAAGTGTCCCCATCCCCACCCCCTAAAGCTTGCATCTTAGTGGAGAAGACAAGGAACAAGGAACAAAAGTATCGGAGAGTGGTAACACGTTAGAACAGACTGAAGACAGAACAACTGGGTTGGGTGCGCGGGGAACAGGGGACACTTAAGGCATGAAGGCACCGCTAATGCCATCTGAGGGAAGAGCACCCATGGCGGCAGGGGCAGCGAGGGCAGGCCCCGCGTGGGGGCTGCCACATCCAGGGGCTGGAGTAGAGGGAGTGAGGGGGAACAGGAGTTGTGAGGCCCACACACAGGCCCTCCGACCACAGGCCACGGGGAGAAGCGTGGCTTTCATTCCGGTTGGAAAGTGAAGCCTTGGGAGTGTTTGAGCTGGGGAAGGGGGGATGAAGGGGCTGGTGGACCAGGGCCAGAGGGGAGCCGAGGGCTCACAGTGGGACTGGGTGTGGGTGAGCAATGCACCCTGGATTTGTGGCTCAGACTCAGATTTTTTTTTTTTAAGATTTTATTTATTTATTTGAGAGAGACAATGAGATAGAGAGAGCATGAGAGGGGATAGGGTCAGAGGGAGAAGCAGACTCCCCGCCGAGCAGGGAGCCCAACGCAGGACTCGATCCCAGGACTCCAGGATCATGACCTGAGCCGAAGGCAGTCGCTTAACCAACTGAGCCACCCAGGCACCCCTCAGACTCAGATTTGAGTCTTGAGTGGGAGGAGTAGAAAGGGCTGGGGACGGCCATTGCATATGGCCATGATGCAGATGGGTGCTAAAGCCCAGGGAGGGGATGGGTCTCCTCGAGAGAGCTCAGAGAGAAGGGGCCAAGACAGAGCCCTGGGACACACCAACTGTTTTGAAGTCGAGTGCCTTTGTGCCTCTTCTCCTGCCGTCTCTTCAGCAGTGCCTCCCCCTTAGGGCCCCTGGCCAAAATCCTGTTACCCTTCATGGCCCTGCTCAAATGACACCTCCTCCAAGAAGCGCTCCAAGTACCCCCTCGCTAGTGGGGATGAGCTGTCACCCCCTACACTTCCGTAAGGCCTGGGCCTCTGTTTTCATTATCTGGCCACTCTGATGCCCTGCATTAAAGTGTGGGGTCCTACCAGGACCATGTCTGAGCAGCAAGGGGGACCCAGCGGCCACCCTCGAAAAGGCCCTAGTGAAAGTTCCCTGAGCTCAGCCCCAGACACCAGGGGGCCCCTTACCTTGTTATTGGCCAAGTACAGGTAATTGAGGTTGGTCAGATGTTCAAAAGCCTCCTCCGGGAGCCCTTCAAAGGACAGGCATCGGTCAGAGCCCTGGATGAAGGAGATGCTACAGGGGAGCACGCCACCACCAACCCCCGCAATGCCCACCCCACTGGCCAGGACGGGGGAGGGCCCCCCTTGAGACAGGCTGGGTTCCGATCCCTTCTCAACCAGTCCCTGCAGGCCTGCCCAGCCCTCTCTTCTTTCCCCTTGCTCACAGGGGCCCCGGCTGAGAGGAGCAGGCGGAAAGGGCTCAGAAATGACCAGTCCTTCACCTGCTCGGGGCCACCCTGGCAGGAATGGGTCTTCATCAGGTCAGGCCACAGGGCAGAGGACCCAGCCCCACCCTTCCCCACCAGGAAGGAGTGCTCCCCTCAGGTGTCAGAGACCCTCCTGACACCCAGCCGCAGGGCAGGGTGGGGCAGGGGCCCCTGCACCTCCCCACCACCTGGCCCAGCCCTGTCCCAAGCTGGCAGATGTGATGTCAGGACTTGGCTGTCGCTGGGAGGCCAGCCAAACTGGCCCTTCTCCAGTCCTTAGGCCAGCCTCTGACACTCAGTTCCGGGCTCCCAGCCCCTGGAGATGCTGGGACTCAGCCAAGTATCTAAGGAGAGGGAACAGTTACATAAACTGCGCGGCGTCCCTCCGGGGTCGGCCCTGCTGCCGCTGAGTAGAGTGACGGCCACCGAGAGCGTTCAGCACCATGAAGGATGCTGCTGTGTTAACTGCTAGGAGCAACGAAGCAGTTATAGTAGTTACCCTATAAGCTACCCTATAAGCTCAGCTATGAATTAAAAAACACAAAGAAAAAAAAAGCCTAGATTGGACTATGGGGAGGGTTGTTCAACTGTATAAACTTCTCAAAACTCATCAAACTGTACTTTCACGTTGGGTAAACATTACAGTATATAAGTTAGACCTCAATAAAGTGGTTTTTTAAAAAGTGGAAAGAAATATACCAAAACATCAATACTGATGAACTCTGCATGGCAGAATTATGAGTGGGTTTTTTCTTTTCCATTTCATTTTCTACATTTCCAAATTTTCTATTATAATCATAAATTATTTTCCTATCAGAAAAAAAATAACCTTTTACAAATCGAGGATTCTACAGCTCTTTGATTCTAAAGGCCTTCTGTGAATCTACCTACGAGCTCTGACAAAGGCCCTGGGAATCAAAGCTTCTTTGATTCTCAGGCACACCCGGGGGCGGGGGGGGGGGTGCCTCTCAGGCAACCTCGGGGAGCCCCTTGCCCATGGGGCCTTGCTGCTGGCCCAGCCCTGCTGTTTTCCATATCCCAGGATCCGCGGGGTGGAGCTCTTCCCATGGGCACCAGTGCCCCGCCTGGTGTCCCCGGCCCGGGCTCTGGGGCATCCCTCACCTCGGGAAGTCAGGCGATTGTTCTGGAGGTTCAGAGTTTCCAGCCGATGCAACCTGGAGAGCTCCCCGGGGTAGATCTTCTCCAGCTGGTTGTTCTGGGGGTTGGGGGACAGGGGTGGTGAGGAGGCCTCACTAGAGGCCCAGGGCTCCTGCCTCAGTAGAGACTCACCCCCACCCCAGTCCCAGGAGCCAGTCCCTCGGTTGGGCACCTCCGTTGGGGTTCACCCCCATGCAGACAGACCTGGGGCTGGGCCAGGCCTGGGTCTGAGCATGGGAGGCCCAGCAGTGACCACAACAGACATGCAGGTCTCACCTTCTAGGAGCCCATACATGGGCACCTAGAGACAGTTCAAACTTGGAGTGCATCTCCCCTCCAGACCTGCTCCTTTCATGTTCCTACTTGGTGACAGGCATCCCCAGCCCGTTCTCCCCACCCCAAGCCAGAAAATACTTTGGGTTCCCTTTCTTGATGGGGAAAAACCTGTGGTCCTCACTCCTTTTGGAATGCTTTACCACCTCCTCCAGAAGCCTTCCTGAATTGGATTGGGGCCTGGATTAGGAGCTGCTCTGGGCCCTGCTGCACTAGTCCTCTGTCTCCATCTGTTACCTTTACCTGTTTAGATCCCTGTCTCCCCACCAGACTGTCCAAGTCCTCCCTCCGTGCCCAGCACCTGACCCGGCACCAGAGGGGTAGAGCAGGTACCCAGGAGACATTTTATGAATAAATGAGTGAATGAACCAACAGCGAGTGTTGCTTTAACTTGTCCCTTTCCCTCACAGGCTACCCTGGCCTTGGACTCCCACCACCATCAACCTGGACCCATCAGCTTGGGTGACCGTGGGCCGGTCCCTTTCCTTCACTGGGCTTGACCTCTGGGAATGGGTACAACAGCCCCCCCGCTCCCCCAGGGCTCCTGGGCCACACGAAACTGGTCATGGTGCACCAGCACTCCCAGAGTCCCCTGTCTGGAACACTGCGTCCCACTTCTTAAAACCTAGCCTATAGCCCAGCCGGAGAGAGTACTCTATCCTCTGAGCCCCCAGAGCACTCTATCCGGGTCTAATTTCTCTTATCTTCCTGGCCTGAAATGGCGTCTGGGGCATCCTGTCCATTCAGAGGGTCGGCTGCCAGGCAGATCCGTGTCCATTTCTCACAGAGTCTGACTCTGGGGGGGTCTCAGCCCAGACTCCCCCAAGCAAAACAAAGCAGTTGTAATAGCACGGTACTCTGCGACCAGGGCGTCAGAGCGGGGACCGCCCTAGCACCCTGTGTCTGGCGTTGGGGAGCCACAAGTTCTGGGGGTTCTGGACGAGCCGAGGGCTGTGGGCAGGGGGATCGGGGACAGGAGCCGCGAGTGTAGGGGGCAGCGCCGTGACCGTTGTGATGCCCGCGTCACCTGCAGGGACAGGTGGTTGGTGTGCTCAGGCAGGTCCCCGGGGAACTCGCGCAGGTCAATGCCACCGCAGTCCACAACGCCCTCCTGGGAGCAGGCACAGTCTCGGGGGCAGTTGATGGTGACGGGGCCAGGCCCTGGCTCCTCGGGTCTCAGCACCAACACCGGCCCCTCCTCCACAAATTCATTCTCGGCAGGGCTCAGGCTGTGGGTACCACTTCGGCCAAACCCCGGAGACCTCGCTGTGCCCACCAGTCCCAGCCGCAGCTGCGGTGGCAGCAACAAGATGAGCAGCAGTACCCTGCTCCGGGCCATGGTACCTGCGGGTACAGCAGACACAGGGCGAGGGCCCACAGAAGTCAGGACGGGGCCCTCCTGGGGTCCTGGGCACGCATCTGATCCGCTGACTGCCACCCCTCCCTTCCCCACCCGCCTCCCCGTCATCAGGCCTGCCCTCCGGAGGCAAGGCAGCAACCCTTACCCGGCCTGGCCCCAAGGAACCTGTACCCCCACTTCACAGACGGGGAAGCTGAGGCCCGGGATGAACTGTGACTTGCAGGGCTTGGCTGGGACTTTGCGGAGCTCTTGCTGCCCTGGCACAGGCGGGACGGGAGGCTCTGCGCCTCCTCCAGAGCCACAGGGCCATGGCGGGCCAGCATCAGCAGGGTGCATCCCGGCTCTTCAGCCTGCCACTCTAGGATGTTCCGGACTTGACCCCGTCTCTCTTCCAATACCCCCACCCCAGGTATACAGGTCTACCTAGTAGATCCTCTCTCCAGGCCTTTGCACATGCTGTTCCTTCTGCCCGGAACACCCTCCCCCTCTCTTGTGCAGTCAGCAACTTCTCCAAGAACCAAGGTCAGCGTTGAGCTGCCCCAGGGCTCTCCCTTACTGTGCTCCCTAGGGCGGGGCGTGAGTTGGGTTGGGCTGTGAATATCGGAAGGTGTCCTTCTCCCACAGAGGGCCGTGAGCCACCCTCAGGGTCTGGGTGGAGGCCCAGCACAGGGCGGGCACAGAGCAGGCCTCAGGTGAATGGACCTTCCCAGTTCCTTCTTCCTGATGCTTACACCCTCACCCGGGCCTGCTGTGCTCACATGACTGGGGCTACCTGCAAGAGACCACTCCCCAGCACGGCCCTCTAGGGTAGCAGGGGTGGGGGACTGGGGATGGCCTCAGGCCATGAGGAAGATGCAGGGGTCCCATCTTCTAGGAGCGCAGGGGCCTAGCTTGGCTCCAGGGGCCTGGGCCCTGGAGTTCTCTTTACAGAAACTCACTTAGCAAACATCTCCGGGGAATGCTAAGTTGTGACAGGCCACAGCCCAGGCGCACTGACTCTAGAGTCCCACAGACCCCAGTTTGAGTCCCCTTCCAGCACTGCGCGGCCCTGACCTCCCTGAGCCAATTTTCGCATCCTACAACGCAGACGATACATCTAAAACCACAGCGTCTGCGAGGAGTCGGCACGTGGCCCCTCCTAGGGGATGGGCTGTGGCCGTCACTGCTACAGCAATTACGAGTGCAGGCATATGGCAAGCGCTTGGCCCTGGGGGCGGGGGGCACGCCTCAGTCTGAGGCCCTCACCCTGGCACTAGATTGGGGGCCACAGCCCACACAGCCACTAGAGAGGTCTGAGATGCTGGGCCTGGAGAACCTGGGAGCTGGCCACCGCAGCCGACGTCTGGTTAGGAAGGCAGGCGGGGGAGCCAGACCGGGGCTGCAGTAGGCTCTGGCTCTCAGTTTTGTCACCCACTAAACCTTGTCTTCCTCACCTGTCCATAGAGGTTACCAGAGCTGCCCTCATGGCGAGACCGTGAGAGTCAGAGAGAGGCACATACTGCATACCGTAAGTGCTCAATACATGTTAGCTCTTCCTACCACTAATATCCGTGGGCATTGCCCACTCCAGAGCCCCCTGCTTCCTCCCCTTCTCTTGTCCAAATCCTGCTTGTGTTTGCAGCCCAGCCCCAGGCCCACCGCCCCCCAGATTTGCAGACTCCAGCCTTTTGCATGAATTCCAGCTGCCCTATGGCAATTGCGACGTTTCAGACACTGCTTTGTCCCACTTGCTGGCTCAGCCAGCTCTCCAAGGTGAGGTCCCGTCTGCCCTCAGCCCTGTGCCGGCACAGGGGACACAAGCGAGGTGGTAAATTTCCCTGCCCTCAGTCTGAGGGGGCAGCAGAGCCCAGTACAGTAACTCCTGCCCAGACTGGGTGAGGCCTCTGAGGCCCCAGAGGAAGGTGTGAGGACGGAGAAGAGGGGCAGCATGCAGGCTTCTTAGAATCCATGTAGGTCTAGGAGGCCTAAGCAGGCTCCGGCCCCAGCCCCTGGCCGGGCAGAAAACCAGGGAGCCTAGCACACACACAGCTCCTGGGCCCCAGGGATCAGTTGGCAGCAGCAAGTAACTTGCGGCAGCCTGGCCCTAGGCCCACCCTACCACACCCCTGCTGCCCCATCCCCTGACCAAATGGGCCATTCATCCTCAACCCGTCTACAGTCCATCACTCCCATGCACATTATAACCCTCCCCCCGCCACCCCCGACTGGCTCAACAACCTGCAGCCCCTGGAGCCACCAGCATTAGACCAGAGTCCCCCTCCCTCCCTGCCTGTGTGATCCCAGACCAGGGCTCTGGGAAGGGGAGTGTGGGCACAGGCCCAAACCCCAAATCAATCAGGGCAGGAGGCCAGGGAGAAAGATCCTTCCCACATATCTTTTTTTTTTTTTTAAAGATTTTATTTATTTATTTATTTGAGAGAGAGAGCAGGAGAGGGGGGAGGGTCAGAGGGAGAAGCAGACTCCCTGCTGAGCAGGGAGCCCGATGCGGGACTCGATCCCAGGACCCCAGGATCATGACC